ATATATAGATATATATAGATATATATAGAGATATATATATATATATGTAGGGTCTGGATTGTTCAATTTGGGAGAAGGAATAGATGTCATTTTAGAATTTAATAAAACTATTAACAAGATAATTAATATTTATTTTATTTTTATCAGACGAAAAGAGTATTTGTACACCCCATGTCTTAAACATGTCTTGTAGTACTGAACTCATTTATTGTGACATAAATCATATTTAGATTCAACAGGCAGAATGACATGTCCAACCATAATATTCTGAATAAACTTTTCTTTTATGAGGAAAATAATCTCAATTTTTTTTATAAGAAGATAATCCAGTGGAGTTTGTTTTTTAAAGCATTTTTTGACATGTCATATTTGTGCTCATGGCTCCTGTGTACATACATATAGAGAATACTGTAAAGCTAGTCTATGTCAGCACTAGACACCGTACACACAGTACAATGACAATATGAATGCTGTACTGTATTGTTCACATATGATATTTTTGATGAATTCTTAGTCAGCATGATGCTTTCTTTAAGTGACTTTCTTCCATCTAGAATCCATCCCACAATACTGTACCTCTATACTTTGCTCCTCATTTACATTTTCAAGTCAGTAAAATCCCTTCTGTGGAGTTTCTTCTCTGACTTTCGATGTCCTTACTGTACTTCCCAGTTTTGGACAGAGACAATAAAGGAGGAATAAAGTTCAGTCTCTGGTTTCCTCTCCTCTTACAGAGTCCAGAAGTGCAGGTTCAGATGTTGGGGCTCCAGGACATGTATGGGAGGCCCCGTGGGCCCTATGTGAACAGAGCCGTGGCAGGATCTGAACCCGGGCAGGGGTGGATCCGGAGTGGATAGGATGTAGTCAATGCTAAATTTGATCTCTGACTCTGGCTTCCCATGCTGGGTGGGGTTTGGGTTGAGGTGGTTTGGCTGGGGGCCTGGCCTCGGCCTCTCAGGGTTCAAAGGGCAGACGGTGGAGTCGGGTTCGGGGCGGCGAGCTGCGGGTACGTGCTGATTGCTGTGGCTTTCCAAAGGGTGGAAAGGGGTTTCTCTTGAATCACGGAAGCCGATTTTCATGTTCCTTCTGCGCCGGCGACGCCGAAAGTTGCCGTTTTCAAACAGGTCGAGCATTGATTCACAGCCACTGGCAAAAGTCCAGTAGTTCCCCTTTCCCTTCTCATTGCCCTCTGTACGAGGAACCTGCGGGAAATATGAAGAATACTTAACAAAGATTAAAAATATCACACAAACAATAGGAAATACACTATTACTGCTGGGGAAAACTAGAACAATTTCTTCTTCTACTAAATAAAAAGGTAAAAAAGGGACATATTACATCTTAAAACAATAATAAAATGACTAAAATTGCGTGAAATTTAAAATTCCTCAAGTAAACATTTTGAATATCTTGTGTAACAGACATCATTTGCACACAACGCAGCGTGTTTGCGTGCACCTTGATGAAGCAGCTGTTGAGAGACAGGTTGTGCCTGATGGAGTTCTGCCAGGCTCTCTGGTTGGAGCGGTAGTAAGGAAACCTCTTCATGATGAACTCGTAGATGCCCGACAGAGTGACCCGCTGCTCGGGGCTCTGCTGGATGGCCATGGCTATCAGAGCTATGTAGCTGACACACAGACACACACTCTAATCAAGCAACACACCGTGTTAAGTTGAGAAGAGATAGACACGCGATAAAGACTCTTCAACTTTGTGTTTTGTTAATATTTGTGTCTAAAAATTGTGATAATGGACAAATTCTACAAACTGTTTCCTTGAGTATATTCTCTCTTTTTGTCTGATCTTATTAAAGCTCAATATATGGAAAAGTAACGAAGTGGTAACCCTTCCCTTTGCCAAAAACTGGTCTGAACAATCGGATGGAGACAAAATCTAGAAATTACCAATTTGCACTGTTATTATAGCAAATAAATATATATTTTAGTGATTTATATGTTGTATGGGGGCTGTGAGAACATATATATTCCTTTTGTTTAAAAAAGAAATGTCTCAAATGTACAGCTTAGTATCTCAAAATCCAATAACAGAAATCTGAATGGACGTATTTGGGTTTTGTGCGACACTAACAAATATATAGTGAACAAATATAGAGTATACAAAAAAGAAAAATTTCATTAGTTCAATACTACATTTAAGAGCAATTCTTATAAATTCTCATAAACTAATAAAATGTTCTTGAGCTGTTAAAGAAACCAAGCAGAATGGAAGGTTTCACATTTGCACTTTAATTGAATTCAAACAGATGTTTAAACAGATGCATTCGCCACATGAAACTAGACTGCTGTATAAAAAACATATTTACATTTATATTACGTTACACTCTGGAAAAAGTCTATGAAAAATCATGAAACTAAATCAATGAAAAAAAAAAAAAAATCAACAGAATATTAAAAGAAAAAAATCTTTCATTATTTACCACTGAAGGGAAATAATGAAAGTCTATATATCTAGCTATGCCTCTTGAAGCAAGGTGTATTTGTGATTAGTTACATGTTTTTAGAGCTTCTGTATTATTCAGAATATAGGCCGGCACTTTGTTTACAGATAATCTGAACTAGGCTGCACTAAAGAATCTTTGTGTTTTGCAGACTGTCAAATGTATGATATGCTGAGATAATACCAAACCCTAACCCAACACTTTTGAAAGGAAAAAATAACAATTTCTTTAAATGAAATTTAAAACCTACTACATGTATACGACATACTGGTAGACAACGTGATGTAAAACAGCTGTTTCAAAGTTACATTAAATAAAAAGAAAACGGTCCATACCTGTACGCGGGTCGACACATTTTCTTCTCTTCGTCTGTGCTGGAGGAGGGATATCCGTCTCCATCGTAATTAAAACAGTTGAAGGGGTAGTTAGAGTTGTCAAACATGTCTACACTTTGAGGAGTGGGATGTGGGATCCAAACTGTTTGTCTCATCTGACTCTCCTGGTCACAGCCCAGCAGCAACACCTTGTCCTGCCGCTCTGCTCTGCCACCATGCTCCGCTCAGCCAGCTGACACTCTGAGCTCTGCTTGGTGACGGCTGCCTCAGGCCCCCCTCTCTCCACATCGTCCCAGCTGCTTTCCAGGAACGGCTGCAGGTCTCAGGACTCAGGGCCACCCCTCTGACCTCTTTGACCTCTTTGTTATCAAATTTCTGTTATTTTATCAGCAGCACTGCACACGTTTTAGGATTTCCAAGTCGAGGCCAATTGAAAACCTGAAGATGGCCTCGTGCCTATATTTCTTTTGTGCAGACAATAAGAAAGTATTTAAAGCCCTATTACACTTAAAACTTAAACTTACATGACAGACTACTGCATTTGAATTGTTGCATACTTGAAATAAGTTAAATATAGCCAAAAAAAGTAGGTAATCATCCAAATAAATGATAGCCGAATATCGTAGAGGCAATATCTGTTCTGTTTCTGACAATGCTCCATTCTCTTATCTTAACACCAATGTTGTTGTTTTTTCAATTAAATCTTGATTATGTAAAGTTACAAGCATGCTTACAGCTGTTAGATAAGTTTAGTAGAAGTAGAAGGATGTTTTCCCTCAGAAGAGTAAAAATGTGAAGTCCAGCAAACAGGAAATGCTTAAATGCAGAGCCGGTGGGCTGCAGTGCATCAAAATGACCCGCGGCTACATGCTATAGCTGTTGGGCTTGGCAGGCCGAGCAGGATACTTTGTTCCCTTTCATATTTGTATTTTCAGCAGCATACAACAACTCTGGGCTGTGGGGAATGTTTGCACTTGTTGAGCAATGAATGGAAGCTATCTTTGGTCAGTTTCCAGACCCCAGTCCAACTCAGACAGATGCCATTAAAGAAACGACAGACATCGTTCTTTTTACATTCCACACGTTCTTCTGTCTTGTGAAAAACCTGGCGCTTACATTACCCACAAAGCAACCTGCCAGGAGCTAGTTCTGTTGGAGATTGTTACGCTGGGAGCAGCTGATGCAGCCTCGAGCCACTACCCTCAAGCAGAGACGAGGAGCAAGCTGCTGGACAAAGGCCGGGTCAGCTCACTTCTTTAGAACTCCTCACCTCCAGAATCGTTATTTCTGACTCAAGTGACATCACTTGAGGTAAGTTATCAGATTTTCACATATGCAGTAGTCAGTCTGTAAACCTTGTAAACAGACTCAGACATGTGGAATTAGTAGAGTGCCCTTTAACTTTGACTCGACTAAGCTAGTCCAGGCAGTCTCACAGTAGCAGCCTGGTTGTCAAACGGCTCCTCTCCCCCCACGTCCAGCAGGATTCTGGGTGGTCCACTGGGCCAGTAGGCCGCCTCCATGTTTTATTTTGCCTCTTTTATAGCCTAATCTCTCTAACTGTACTTAAAACAGCTATCCCCAAACCAACAAACAAGATCCTTTGCATCTTTGTTTTCTTTTTCTCTCCGTTGTGTGTGTGTGTGTGTGTGTGTGTGTGTGTGTGTGTGTCCACTCTGGCAGACGTTTAGTCAACAACGGGAAGTTTTGTAGATGTTATCTATAATGCTCTATAATGGCCATAAATTGTTTCCGTGTCTATAAAACAGGGGGATGTGTATTTTGAAGGGATCTAAACGGGGCAATTGGAGGTCTCCCCGTGAGGCGACAGAGGCCGGGAAAACAGCCTGAGGCCTACGAGGCCTCCGTGTGTGGCCCCGCTGGTGCAGGAGGAGCCTATAAGGCGCTATATCGGTCCACACAGAGACATTACAGCAATTCTCCATTACTCCTGACTAATGAAGCAGTTAAAAGGTCAACGCAGTACTCAATTTTAGGTGCAGGCCAAATTTTTTTTGTGGCTTCATAAAAAGGTGTGGTGCATCTTGAAGCATGAAACAGAATCTGGATTAATATCAGTGGTCTCCATGTCGGTCTTGATCTTTTCTAGCAATTGGTTTCTTCTCTCGGAAATTGTGTTTTCCGCATATACAGGTAAAATAAATCCCATGAGAGTGGGAGTAACCACACAGGGCCATAACTACCATTAAGGACTTACTTTAGTCTAGCAATAGAAAATAAAGATATGTAGGCCTTTCCTTTTGGGAAATAACTACTACAGGCAACAGAACAGAACAGGTAAAGGGGCATTCCACTGGTTTTACACATCGTGGTCCGTTTACTGGTCTTGTGAAAACAGCTGTAGAATGTCTTCTGCGGCATAACCCCCGTGATGTTATCGAGGTTATCCCATCTTGGGCTTGAAGACTAAAACAATTGAACAAACAGCCAGTCTTAAAACAGAACAATTTTCTGCCTTCCTCTTTTATCTTTACAAAATATCGTATTTCTCACTTCAGGGCCTCCGTATAGCCAGCATGTCTCAGCACGTAGCCGGCTTTTTAATCTACTCTACCTCAAACAAAACACATCTAATAATCATTTTCTGAAAATAATTCAAAGTTGCTTTAGAACATTTTTGCTCAACCAGTACTACCATGTAGAACAACCAGTGGTTGAAGTACTTTCACTCAGGTATTTGTACTGAAGTACTCATTTCTTGAGTAATATTTCACAGCTCTTCACACTACAATACAATGTAGAGTGAAATACAGACAGCTGTAGCTTACTCTGCAAAAATATTTGAATTAAAAACAAAAGAACGAGTTTATAAAATACGATGCATGTTTGATTAAACTACCCGACAGGCATAAGATAGTTAAAATTAGCACCACAATGACCAACTACATCGATACATCAATATAATATTATAACAAATAAAACACACAGTTGCCATTTTTATGCATTGAGTAATTCTATTTTTCATACTTTCAAGTAAAGTTTGCTGATAATACTTTTGCAGAGTACTGGAATATCAGTTTTGTTCTTGAATGAAAGGACCTGATTACGTCCACATTCTACATTATTGGGTTAATATATTCCATGTTGTGCTTTTTAACCCGAACCACAAAGCAACATACCTGACTTCATTGAACATGGAGCTAACTAAGTGCTAAAATGATGTCTGGGCCTGTTCCCTCCAGACAAGAGAAACCGCTTGCTTTTTAAAAAATAAAACTGTAAATAGAGCAACAGAGAGAAGCGGTGTAGAGGAGAGGTCACCGTATCAGGTTGGTCTGGACTGAGATCAGATAAGCAGCACATGGCTCACTCCCATGACGAGGCTTCCTCTGGCGTCCTGTCTGCGGCCTGCTGCGGTGATTACAGCCCTTAGTTCTCCTCTGGTCACTCTCCATCCCTCTGATGGTTGTCTCAGACTTCCTCCATTCATAGCTCTGTATGCCTGCCTGCGTGTGTGTGTGTGTGCGTGTGCATGCATTTATGTAAACCAGCCAAGTAGCTTTTCCGGGGGCTGTTCTGTGAGGAAAGGTTATCAAAACACAACAGTGCACTGGGAACTGTAAACATGCTGGCACACAGAGCTGGGGCTGAGGGACATTTTCCTTTTGCACTGTACTGTGCAGCCATCCTCACTGCCAGCATTTACTGTCCAATAACAACGGGCCGAGTACACGTAGGATTTTGTGACATTGCAACAAGTTTGGCGCCAAATCGAGTTCCAGTTCGCAATTTACAGAAGTGTGAAATGGAAAACCTCAAAAGACTGGTCCTTTAGGACACGTCTCGTGTCCGGGAGTTGAACTTCTGAAGTATCTGAAGAGGATCTGGAACAACGTGACATGAAATGACTCCTCATGAGAGATATCAAACAAACACTGGACGGGTTGCGAAAACAGAATATTGCAGACATATTTCAACATTTGGGAGAAATACACAGATCTGCTTTCATTTTGTGAACATTGATATACACCTCACGTAGAAGTATTTTTGCTTTAGCTGTTGGTAGATGTATTCTCCCCCCCCCCCCCCATGATGATGAAATATATAATATTAAACATGTATATTAAAACTCACATCCTTCTACTGCTGTTAAAAAACAAAGCACTATAATATTCTGCTTATTTTGTTTTATTGCACTTTTACCATGATGCAAAGAAATGCAAAACAATTTACAGAAACAATGAATTGAATAAAAAAAAAAAAGAAAGAAAGAATCCTCTTCAGGTTGACTATGCCCCCCCCCCCCCCATACGTCCATACACACTGAACTGACCTGACACAGGACTGTGGAAACTTAGACTGTGTAATAAAACCCTTATGGATCAGTTGGAGTCAGCACACACGTATATGTAGACCTCCGAATCTCACCCACAGCTCGTACCCGGGAGGAGTTCAAACCTTCCTGCTATGAAACCAGACATTCAAGTATTTCTATCATTGCACAGGCACTAGATTTTCCTACTGTATATATTAACTTCCAGCCAGCGACTCAATCGTTCACACCAACAGTTAAAAGCTATCTGCTGTTGGTAATGAATGAAATATACATCCTGAAAAATAATCTCTCCACAACAGCAACATCTGGACATCAAATATATTACAAAGAAACAATAATTTAAAACCATTAGTGTCACATTTTGGCTTTTGGTAACATTTATCTAACCTCATATCTGTTGCACTGAAAGAATAAAACAGAGACAGTTGATGGATTAAATGTTGTAAACGCGCTTGAATCGAACCAATTTTAAATAATAGAGGGTTGACTTTACTGAGAGGCACGGACTGGGCAGCTACTTTTTGCACGTGCTCAGTTTGCCCCCTTTTGGACAAATGAGGAAGTGCACCACTGTGATGAAAATTCACAGAAACCGATTAGTATTAATTTCCCAAATAATAAATATGAATTTGAATAAATACTCTCCCAAGTACAAGTAACATTTATGGGAAAAATTAAAAGACAAATCCAGGAGTAAACCTGTACTCCAATCAAATATCTCCATCTTGAATACCGACGATAAAAGCTGAATCAACTCGGCGGTAATCGAATAAAAAAAGAAAGAGACTATGCAATAAAACATCATTTTGAGAATTAAGACAACAGGAAGTCAACCGTTACATCCTCCTCCACCGTGAATGTTCAACCCAAACA